GAACCCAGCATTTTTTTTCAATATAAATAATGCAGTATAGCAGCCGTTCTGAAAATTATTCTTCCTCTTTAAGAGATTCGCCTTCAAAATGGGGAAGTGGCAAGGTGAGTTATATGAAATAAATAATTAAAAAATATTGAGAATTATATATTTTATAATTGTATTAGGCGTTATTTAAATAGTACCAAAAAAGCCTATTGAGTGGTCTTCTTACTAGACTACTGACAACTCTATCTATGGTCTGACCTATAGGCTAGTCTATGTACATGTCTATTAACTAGCCTGTTTATGGACTGAAAATTTCAATAGTCCAGTAATTAGGCTTTAGAATTGTCTATTACTTATTATTAACCAGTCTATGGGCTAGTCAAGAAACTAGTATATGAACTAATATATGGACCAGTCTATAAACAAGTTTATGTACTAGTTTATGAAATAGTCTATAAACCAGTCCATAGGCTAGTCTATGCACTATTCTATAAACTAGTCAATGTCTAGTCTATGGACTAGTGTATGAACTAGTCTATGATCTGATTTATAAACTAATCTATGGACTAGTGAATGATCTAGCCTATGAACTAGTCTATGGACTAGTGGACTAGTGTATGAACTAGTCTGTGAACTGATCTATGAACTAATCTATAAACTAACCTATAGACTAGTGTATGAACTATTTTATGGACTAGTCTATGAACTAGTCTATGGACTAGTGTATGAACTAGTCTATGAACTAATCTATGGACTAGTCTTTGAATTAGTTTATATACTAGTCTGTGAACTATTCTATGAACTAGTCTGTGAACTAGTTTATAAACTAGTCTGTGAACTAGTCTATGAACTAGTCTATGTACTAGTCTGTGAACTAGTCTATGGACTAGTCTATTAACTAGTCTATGGACTAGTTTATGAACTAGTCTATGGACTATTATATGAACTAGTCTATGGGCTAGTGTTTGAACTAATTTATGGACTAGTATTTGAACTAGTTTGTGGACTAGTCAGTGAACTAGTCTATGGACTAGTCTGTGAACTAGTCTATGGACTACTCTGTGAACTAGTCTATGGACTAGTCTGTGAACTAGTCTATGGACTAGTCTGTGTACTAGTCTGCACACTAGTTCTGACAGCTTAATATGAAATTCTTCTGTTAGCACTTGTTCTTTTGAAGCTATAATTTAAGCATTTTTAGTTCCAAAATACTTTATTTTTATTTTTCTTCACTCTCTTTTAGGAAAGCAAAGGCTATGCCTACAAACAAGCTTCATATCAATATTCGACATCGGGCACTAATAACAATTCCTACAGTGATAAATCGTCAGATAAAAATATTGATCAATTAGATGCTCTATTGGAAGATTTAAAAAATGAACGTGAAATCACCAGAGATAGAGGTAAAGTAATAATAAAATTGTTTTAAAATATAACGTTCTAATGAAAATTTCTTCAACATTTTATTTTAAAGATCATTCTTTGAATTATAGAACTATGTAAGTAACACTTAATAAATCCATAATAAAAAGTGTACCAAACTATAAATTTTTCTTTTTTTTTTAACTTTAGCGAACGATCCACAAATGAAGATCCTTTGAGTGGTACAGTAACCAAAACAACGCGAGTCATTAAAACCTCCAAAAATGCCGTAGGAGGTTTGGATGATGTAGAAATATTGCCATCACCCGACTACAGTACTTTAAGATCAAATAGTGGCTCTTTAATGCGTAATGATTATCAGACCTTGGATAAATCCTATAGCTCAAGTAATTCATTACATTTTTTTTATTATCGTTTAAAATTTTTTTTAACCTATTACCTAATTACAGAAATCTTTCGCCTGGTGGAGGAGGTTTCTATGAAGCGAAGAAAACCAAAATTTATGAAAGTAATCGTTCATTGAACAAACCGCCGAACTTGTGCCAGTTGTAGGACCAACAACTGCCACACCAGCTGATATGCAGGAAGATTTTAAAAATATCACCATTAATGAAGATATTCTACCAGTACCCGGTACTAAGGTCACTACAACAGTGCGCACCTATACCTACGAAATACCCGCAAATGGCGTTATAGCCCCACCAGCAGCTACCTCAAATACTTTAAGCCGTAAAAACATTGTCTACAATACGGTGCAAACGAATGAAACTAACAATGTGGTACAACCACATCCCGTACACGCCATACCACAAACTGTAGTCTACAATACGGAAAGTTATTCCACCTTAAATCGGGGCATTGACAAGCCCATTGTAAACAATCAATCGTACGAAGTACGTGAACACTATGAAACGAATACGTTGAGAAACAATACGTTGCCTTTGCAGCCAAGAAATCAACAACCGCAATCACCACCAACTGATACCACAATTGTGTATAATATTAATAATACAACAACTACTACCACAGAGCGTCCTGGTTATCCTCACAGTCCAAACCTAAGTCCCAAACCTGTAGCTTACACCACGGGACCACACAGTCCTCAGTCACCACCTCACAGTGGTCCCACTACTCATCGTTACTTTTACAAAGAATCTACCAATACCATCAATACTGTACATGGTGGTCCCGGAGGTCCAGGAGGCAGCCCTGGCGGTCCCCCCAATGAACCATTGTTGATGACACCTAAAAATACTACACCCACATCTACAAGACCCGTTGGAGGTTATCCACCAGCTGGTGGTCCGGGTTATCCACCAAATGGTAATCCACCACCAGGTGGTGTCACTTATCACTACTCTTCGACCACAACTAATACCAATACAAATCGTCGTGGTCCCGATTATGGAACACCATCACCTCACTCCATGCCCCCAGCACCTTTCCCCGTCGATGGTGTTGAATATCCAGTTGGCAATGGAAATCCACCACAGCGTGTTGAAGAACTTATGCAATCGTTCGGCAATGTAAGTTTTTGCGTTTTAATAGTTAATAAAGCCTTAAATAATAACTATTTATAAAATGATTCCTTTTCAGTCTGATGTTGTTGATAGAAAAGATTTGAATACACCACGTAAACGTGAAATTGAAACCGCCGTAGCATCACCAAATCAACAACAAATTGTGCCATCCATTAATAGAGCCGGTAGAGATGTTTATTATCCACCCGGTCATGAAATGATGTTAACTAAACGTGAAGAAATGCATGCTTCTGGCTCACAGGGAGGCGTAAGTTAAAGCAATTTATTAACATTCTCATAAATCTAAGAATTTTTTTTTTTTTTTTTTTTTGATTTTTCCAGGGTCGCTGGGCAAAGGGTTCGGGAATGTATGAATATGAATCTGGTTATAAATCAAAGAGTAAAACTAAAACAAGTGGTGCCATGGTACCCGTCTGCTTGCCACTTTGTTGTGCTATGCCCTGTTCAATTATGTAAAGCCTCTGTCTGTCTTTATATTATAAAATATAAGACTTTGGCTTAAAACTAACAAATAAATGATTATTTTATTTTACATTTTTTTTTTAATTTTAGTCGGCCAATATATATTGTATATATAATAATTGTTATACTGCTATTTTTGTTTTTAATAAATTAACATTTATTTTTATATGAATGTTGACACACGTAATGCTCCATTTTAAATGTTTTACTCTTTTGCTCAAAATGTTAATTTTTTCCTTAATTTTTCCAAAAATAAACTAACTTTTAAGTTTTATAAAAATTTAAAAAAACATGTACTAATTTTTTTTATTATTACCCATTGTGTTATAATAAAAATTGTTAAAATTTTATATTTTAAAACATTTCTGATGTATCGAATATTTAGCTTAAGTTTAATTAATATACAGCTTGTGTTGTAATTTCGAATTTTTAAGTAATAATATTTTAAAAATTACCACTATTTTAATACAAAAACAAATACACAAAAAAATAAATATTGACTGTAACAAATTAATATTGGGAAAAAAAATTTAATAAAATCAAACGCCTCGGGCGCTTCTAACAAACCAATGTGAAATTGTTTATTTTTATTGTAGAGGATTGATGAAACAGCTTAGGTTTTATATAAGTGAAAAAAGTTCAAAATTAATTTACCGATAATCGCTTACTGTTTATAGCTATGGAAGTCGAAAAACTTACTTTGGAATTTTTCCGGAAATCATTAAATTTTTTTTTGCAATAATTTCGCATCAAATTACTTACTTGTCTTCGGAAATGATAATTTGAAATCTATAGTTAAACTGAACTAAAAATAGAACTAGAACGGAATAAGAATTGAACGAAAAGTAAACAAGAACTAAACTAGAACTAAACTAGAACTGAACTAGAACTGAACTAGAACTGAAATAGAACTGAACTAGAACTGAACTAGAACAGAACTAGAACTGAACTAGAGCTGAACTAGAACTAAACTGAACTAGATATGAACCAGATATGAACTAGAACTGAACTAGAACTGAACTAGAACTGAACTAGAACTGAACTAGAACTGAACTAGAACTGAACTAGAACTGAACTAGAACTGAACTAGAACTGAACTAGAACTGAACTATAACTAAACTAGAACTGAACTAGAACTGAACTAGAACTAAACTAGAACTGAACTAGAACTGAACTAGAACTGAACTAGTACTAAACTAGAACTGAACTAAAACTAAAGTAGAACTGAACTAGAACTGAACTAGAACTGAACTAGAACTGAAAAAGAACTGAACTAGAACTGAACTAGTACTGAACTAGAACTGAACTAGAATTGAACTAGAACTGAACAAGAACTGAACTAGAACTGAACAAGAACTGAACTAGAACTGAACTAGAACTGAACTAGAATTGAACTAGAACTGATCTAGAACTGAACTAGAACTTAACTAGAACTGAACTACAACTGATCTAAAACTGTACAAGAACTAAAATTGAACTGTACTAGAATCATATTTATTTCGCTATTTCCCCACTGTGCAATAAAAAATCTTTGGAAAATAGTTTGAAAATTTTATTTTGAAAAAAAAAGAAAAAAGTTTTTTGTTTTGTATATACAATTGAGTTTTTTGAAATTGTTTCTAAATAGATTTTGTTTAATAATTGTTTTAATAATAATAATTTACAAATAATTTGTATGCTAATTTTGTTATTTTATAGAGTTTTATTTTTTTAACAATATTATATTGTATCACAAACAATTTAATTAGATTCCAATTATTATTATTCTTTTAATATAATTTTATTAAAGCAATTTGTTTTCTTCTTGTATATAAAATGTTTACTATTTTTATTAATATTTTTCTTCTTACATATAATACAAAAATTGTTATCTTAAATAGTTCGAAAGAGTTGTTTAATGTATAAAGAATAAAATTTTCAAATGTAAAATTATTTTATTATTATTTTTTAATTTTAAATATATATTTGATCAACAAACTAAATAAGAGATTCTCTAAAGAGCATAAATGAGATTCTTTAATATGTTTACGTCAACATCATACTAGTGAAAACAACAAAAATCATAAAATATAAAACCAAAACCCTTAAATAAAAAATATATAATAATTTTGTAACAAAAAGGACAACAACAAAAAACCTACATTGGAATGTTAAAATGGAAGATTCAATTTAATTTTCAAATAAATACAGTTTGCCTAAACGTATGATTTTTAATAATTTTCTTTTAATACTCTAAATATGTATAACATATTAATTAATTAATTTCTAAAAAAAGTATAACTGCTACTTTAAACTTTTCTCATTATTCTCAAGCTAATAACTATATCACTATATATTTATTTTAAAGTCTATGAAAAAATCTACAAAAAAATATATGGAAACAAAACTAATACAATTAGAGGGAAGTTAGCAAAATACAAAATGAGAAGACTATAGATTCTTAAGTTACGTTATACAATATGTATTAATGTATGTTTTGTAGAAGATTGTGTTTGTTTTTTTTTTCCTCTGCCAGTCTACATACAACATGATATGGAAATTGAAAGTTAATACTAATAAAATAAATTGCCATTTCTACAAATAAATACATTTTTAATTTAACTTTGTACTAATTGCAAATATTTTTCCTAAATACATTCGCCTGCGTTTTTAGTAATTGGGGAAGAACTTTTCAATTTCATATATCATGCCTGTATGCATGTTCTTATCGTTGTTGTTGTTGTTTTTTTGTTAAGTTTAACTTTTTTGTTCGGATACTTTTAATTCGGCATAATACCAACTGAATGTTGGATATGATTTGTAACTATAAATATCATATTTAATCGAATTTAAGCCATCATTGCCAATTTTATTAATACCATTTACCAAATTCTCATAACGTTTGGGATTGGCTTTTTCCTTTTGATGTTTGAGCATCATATAACGTGCAATATTTATGGGATAGCGTGCTATAAATAAATTGGCATTTCGTAATCTGTAAAAGAGATCAATAATTAAATTAATCAAATATTTTGATAATTTTCATTGTTTGCAAAAATAATTTATAACGTGACTAAAGTTATTGAAAACTTCTAATTATTTTCACCCATTAGATAGATGTCACTAAATACTTAAATTACTACCCACAATTTGGAGCAAAATCGTTTTATGTAACCTTACTATTATTTAAGTGAATGGATAATAAAAGATAAAAATATTGTCCGGATCGGTCCATAATAATATCCTCTTTCGATAAAATCTCCTGTAACTAAAACCGAACTAGAACTGAACTAGAACTGAACTAGAACTGAACTAGAACTGAACTAGAACTGAACTAGAACTGAACTAGAACTGAACTAGAACTGAACTAGAACTGAACTAGAACTGAACTAGAACTGAACTAGAACTGAACTAGAACTGAACTAGAACTGAACTAGAACTGAACTAGAACTGAACTAGAACTGAACTAGAACTGAACTAGAACTGAACTAGAACTGAACTAGAACTGAACTAGAACTGAACTAGAAACTGAACTAGAACTGAACTAGAACTGAACTAGAACTGAACTAGAACTGAACTAGAACTGAACTAGAACTGAACTAGAACTGAACTAGAACTGAACTAGAACTGAACTAGAACTGAACTAGAACTGAACTAGAACTGAACTAGAACTGAACTAGAACTGAACTAGAACTGAACTAGAACTGAACTAGAACTGAACTAGAACTGAACTAGAACTGAACTAGAACTGAACTAGAACTGAACTAGAACTGAACTAGAACTGAACTAGAACTGAACTAGAACTGAACTAGAACTGAACTAGAACTGAACTAGAACTGAACTAAAACTGATCTAGAACTAAACTAGAACTGAACTAAGTAAAAAGTAACAAACTTTAGTGAAGAGCATTCAGATTCCTCACAGGCGAATTTGACACTCCACTTTTAAATTTTAAACCAAGTACGACTATGCTACTTACCTATTCGACATATCATCATCTTCACCACCCCAACCGAAATATGAATTTGAAAATCCATTAACAGTTAAAAAGTGTTCCCTGGTCATAGCGGATACACCACCAAATATTGTTCGATAAGGCAACCTTGAAATAAAACAAACAAATTAATACACCAAAACCCGAGAAATGAGAAAAAAACACTATAAAAATTCTTACTTATAATTAAATTTGTCTATGGCCACCGACATGTGTCGCGGTTGACGTGGACAATTATATAAATTGCGATTATCCAGCGGCAACAGATCGACATCATGAAATATAAAACAGTCCCATTTATAAAGTTTCATAGCTTCCAAAAAGCCAATATTCATCAGAGCTGCCCTATTAAAAGGCTTGCCATTCGTTTGTTCGACTATGAAAATTCTATAGGCAATATGTTGTTGCATAAGAAATGGATGTATGTTGCGCAGGAAGATCGAAAGATGTGCGTAACGATCGCGAAAAGGCACCACAATAGCAACATGATGCCGGGCTATACAGTCTTTTGGTTTGAAAGCACCGCCTGGTTCCAATAGAGGACCCAATTGAGCATCGACAACATCTAGAGATTCTAAAGTAATATTAGGTACAAAGGGACTACCTTTTTGTGGCAGAAAAGGAAAGGACAAATAATTAATATTATTTTTAAATTATAATTAAAAATATAACTTACTCTCTTCAATAACAGGATCCTCGCATAATGATAAAGCCGTTGCATTTTGTATTTCTTTGCTGGTATTGATCCTAAAGCTGCCGTTGCTGTGTTCTAGATAATTAATATTGTTGTTGTTGGAAGCATTAGAATATAGTGTTGTAGCATTAGCTGAGTTTGATGTTGCGGCTGATGATAAGGAATTATTGTGGTTGTTGTTATCTTTATTATTTATTATGGTTTGGTTTAGTACGGTGCCATTGTATTTGTAGGTTTTGCGTAACCTTTTTTAAAATTGTTGCAAATTAATTTAAATTTAACATCATTCATTTAATTCAATTTCCTACACTTACCCCAATCTAGTAAATGATGATGAGACATTAGATTTATCAGCAAAATAGTCAATTAACAAATTAAGAGCCAACAGCATACAAACACCACAAAATAAATAACGTAATGCGACATACACTTTACTCGACATCCTCCAGTGCCACCACCTAAACCACCACTAACTAAATTTAATAGTTAAAGGATTTTAGGTAAAATTTATATATTGAGTTGCAGGTGCTACGGCTGGACGACCACCACATTGAAAAGTACCCATTTAGATGTTAAATTTTTATCTTATTTAAAACAACCTAGTTATTTTTCGTATTTTTTTTCTTTCTTCTAGCAATTTTACCAAATCAATATAACAGCATCATGACAGAGATGACATTTTTTAGGCAAAATATATGATCAGCTGTGCTGGTGTAAACAAAAGTGTAACCAGACCGTTATAAATATTATTTCTTATTTGACATTTGTTAACTGTAGTACAAACAGGAAATGTAAACAAATAGAAATAGTGGAATTGAAATGGAAATGGAGATATTTACTTCTACACTGTAAAAAAAACTGACTTAAGAAAAGTTTATAATAAAGTAATTAAATTAATACAAAATTATTATTGTTTAATTGCAATATTATTGAAATTTTTTACTTTGTACATTTGAGTGATTCAAGGTTGCGGAACTGAAACAGATTACATATTTGGAAGCAATTTTTACAAATATTATAACAGTTCGACTGCGGTCGATAGTTATTATCTGGGAAATAATGTCGTTGTTACAGCTGCCGCTAAGTTGACAATCTTTCGCCGAGTAAGAATTTGATCGTTCCGGAACGAAAATCTATTCATCGCGAGAGCTTAATTGAGAACATATGGTTTGTTAGTGTAATTTGCAATAATACCTACTTACCGCTTTCTGCTTAGAAAAACAACAACAAAATGAGAAAATTTCATTTTTTAATATTACCGTCTTTATTTACATACTTTTAAAGCATTTATTTAATGAAAGACATTTTTAGTCAGTGTCCGGGGAAATCAACATAATGAACATACAAAATCATTTGCCTAATATAATTTTTTGATTTAATTTTTTCAAGCAAAACTGAAAATTTTTAGAAGAGAAAAAATGGAAACTAATAAATTAAAACAACTACATTAATAGCTACAAAACACACATATAGTTATCGTGGCAGTCGAACAGCTTCTAAATCTTTAATAACCAATGTATTGCTAACATTGTTGTGCGTATAGTCTAGACGTAAAACTTTCGATTCACCAATACAGGGATCATAGAAACCGGGCAAATCGCTCTGTAATTAAAAAATATATACATATTTACCAAATAAAAATTGAAGATACACTAGACTTTTACTAACCTTGGATGAATTGTATAGTATTAGGACACCCTCCCTGACCAAACATTGTACTGGTATGGTGACATCTATGGAAGCGGAAGCTATAAACTCATTACCATTCTCTTCCAATTGACCATAGATGGCTTTGTTTATAATTAAACCTTTGCGTTCGGTTTCCTCTTCGACTATACGCTGATAGGTATGCTGCATCAACTCAACGGCCGCGTTCGCCTCCTGGCGTCTCATTGTCATACGTTGTTCATTATTACGTTTAGTCTTTTCTATTTCAATATTTTTACGATCGGCTTGCATGGGCTCTATAATGGATTTTTTAACAAAAAACCATACAATGACTGGTGTAACAGTTGCATAAAATACAGCTGCAGGCACAATTTCTTCACTCAGGTGTATGGGAAATATATAGGTTTGTTGGGAGCGTGTAACTCTGTTTAAAAACAAATTGTTTTAGTCACTTCCAATTTAATGCACACAAACAAAAAAGAAAGAAAACTTACTTGAACTTTAAAATAACTCCCGTCGGTACACCTAATGACACGGAAGCGTAAACGGAACTATATTTTGATACTTTCTTCTCAGCTCCATACTCGGCTAAAAATCCAAAAGTTCCCACCTTGGCGGCTACTTTCAATTTCAGCTCATTCTCTAGCATTTTGTGAGTATACGCTATACTATAGTATATATGGGGCGAGCCAATAACAAAAGATGTGGACCAGGAGTAACGCTCATTTGTACGATCTATTTGCGTAGTCATGCTAGACTGAGAGCCGGCATTAAATGTCAGCGAACCCATTGTATGCTTGTCTAGTTGTACAGCTAATGTAGAAAATAGTCCAGGTATAACACCATTCTCCCGGAAATTCATTTGGGCACCAGCATTTAAAGTCAAGACAGAATTAAGTGTCCTGCCGCCTTTGACGGCCGTTATCAAACCATTGCCTGCACCAACATCCAGCTGCAGCCAACCTTTGTTAAGCAGACGTCTACCACAGACCACAAAGCCTCCGTTACCATTGCCATTAGCCGACATTAGATTGCCGCTTAAAGTCAAGGTGTCTCTTCGTGTCAAGGGAGCTTCTATAGATTGAGAAATACTCATCGAGGAAACCTCAATACGAGGCATTTCAGATTCGTCATAAGGCGAAAATATCTCCGTGGCATTGACATTAATAGTAACATTTCCTCTAGGATTAGTGTTTTGCAGCAACTTACGTTCCTCCGCCAATTGGGCGAGCCGTTCATATTCCTCCCTAATCTCTGCGGGAGTTTTTGTACGGTGTACCAAATCCCAGCCATCGGTACGTAAAGCTTTCTCACCCACCGAATCATAAATTGCTCGTTTATGAGGATCCGACAATACTTCATATGCCTTCTTGGTACGATTGAACATTAACTCAGCCTTTTGCTTCTTCTCCGGCTCTGTGTGTTTATCCGGATGATAAATGCGGCTAAGCTTGCGATAGCTGGTATTGATTTGATCAGCAGTTGCCTAAAATTGTTGGATGAATCTATTTTATTGCATTTCTCGTAATTAGAGGTGATGAAACATGACAAAATTGTGTGGAAATTAACCACAACAACAAAAACACATGAAAAAAATACTTGCATCTTTGGGTAAATTTAGAAAAGTATAGTAGTTTTCCTCCAATTCATTGTCAGAACCCGGTTCTTCGGACATTTCGTTAAGGATTAGATTAATACACTAGATGAAGTAGGTGTAATTAGTGGCTAAATTGGTAATGTTTTTATTACAAAATTTTGAATTTTGTACCAAGAGAAAAGAAAATAATATTTTTTTCTATTTCGTTGAATAACCTCAAAGTTAGAGACCTGCGCCGACCATTTTCAACGGCGGCGGCTAACGACAAAATAGGCAGCTGAAAGCCGGTTGTGAGAAAAGTGCTTTTTCTTTTGATAAATATCTTAAAATGTATTATTTATTTATTAAATCATTTGGTTAATTATTGTTTATATATTAGTAATCAATAAATTAATTTTATCTTTATGTTTTTAAATAGTTTTTTCTTTCTTTTATTTTTGTTCAAAATATTATATTTTTATTTAATTGCCCGCTGTATTAGAAACAAAATGGAATGAAATTTATTCTGTTTTTTATGAACTACCCTGTGCGAAAAATTTCTTATTTGACATTTCATTTTACAACTTCTTTACAGTTCTCATTCCCTTTTGAAAAACGTGCACGACATTTTGTGAAATTCGAAGAAAAAAGATTCCAGACGAAAATCGTTGAAATAATTAAAGGAAAAAACTAGAAATTTTATTATAAATTACATAAAAACATAATAAATTATAAACAATGTTGCGTGTTACAAAGTTTTTGCCCCGTTTGGCTGGTCAACGTCAAGCCAGTTTGGTGACCGGAAAATATTCTAGCATATTCGAAAATGTAAGTGCCAAAAGTTAATACGTCGGTTGAAATATGTTTGCCTGTGGGCCTATTAAAATACTAAATTTTATATAATCGTTTGCATATTTTCAAAACAAATGCATTTCTTTAACTACTCTTAATTTTGTAAAAAATTTATTTAACAAATTTTTATTTAAATTTTTAGCAAACTAGCGTCTTGAGCAATGGACTTGCCTCTCAATTGCGTCACAAGTAAGTCTAAAGTCTTTAATCATGTTTTCTTTTTACTGCTCATCATTAAATCATTCTCAAATGTTTTTAATTTTTGCCAAATTTTGGAAATTTATTTTATTTAATGACTTATGTAATTTTAAGTTTTTTTTTTTTTTTTTTAACCGGCCGGGGTCATGTGAGTCTTGTTGAAAAATGTTGTATCTTCCAGACTTTTTTGTTAGTTAGTGCGTTAAAAGTTACGTCATTAAAAGTATTCTATTGAAAAGTTATAGAATTTCTTTGTTATTCATTTAAAAATAAGGCAGTTCCAATAGAAAACTTAATTTCTAATTTAGATTTCATCATTACAATAGATACATATTTCTTTTTATCTGCTATTACTTGCAGTGGTATATGTCATTCATTTACATCAAAAGAGTCTTAACTAATAATTATAGGTTTGTGCTAAAATCTTTCATAAAGTTTTAATTATTTAAAAAAAGTCAATATTTCAATGAATGTTCATTTAAGAAACCTGTCATTCTTTCGTTCATGCATGTAATAGATTTTACTTTTTAAATCACACGATTTCTGTAGTTATTTCAGGAAAATTCAAGTTAAATGCCTCCCAAGTATTCATACAAAACAGCTTTTCTCGAAATTTACATGTTTTTTGTGTTATGACATTCTTGTAGGAAATAAGCGATATGTGTTTGTATACGAAGGTGTGTATGTTTGTGTATACAAACGTACTATGTACGAGTAATTTATATAGTAAAAATTATTTACTTTAAACATGTGTAGTGTTGTAGGTTATATAATAAACAAACAGCTGAAAATAACAAATCTTTTTTTTATTCCATAAAAATTGTTGCTCTTCTGATAAGAGTATGAAAATCGTATTGATTTTAATTTACATGTGGACATGAACGTATGTATGTTTTCTATAAAAAATCTTCGTTATCGCTCTGCAAATGTTATTTTAGTTGAAGGCTCGTTTATTGAACAAAAATATGAGTTCTGGAATTTACTGTAAAGTTAAATACAGTTAGATAGGTTTATATTATATTAAAGTATACTAATCGATTTAAAAACACTTCCTGGACGATTAAGCCATGCCCGTCCTGTTATCCATGTAAATCTTATGTACAAAGTGCATGTGTGAATTCATATGTATGTATGTATGTATGTATGTATGTATGTATGTATGTATGTATGTATGTATGTATGTATGTATGTATGTATGTATGTATGTATGTATGTATGTATGTATGCAAAAAACATTAAAATTTGTTTGTTCCCTTTATGTTTCTACCTTGCCCTCATAGAAATATTTTGTCAAAATGTTCATTGTTAAGCGGTTTTGTTGAAATTAATCACACATCTCTTCTAAATGCTCAAATAAGATGGTGATGACCCTCATATTTTAGTTATTTACAATACGTACATATAAATTGTCATAAATAAGTTAAAAAAAAATCAAAAACTCCGATAGGAAGCATCTTTACCAAAATTACTTTAATTACATTTTTTCTGAAATTAAAAGAAGTTCAGTATAAAGTGCTATAAATCGAGTGTGAAAATATAGTTTAAAGTGCCTAAATATGTGTCCTCTACTGTTAATATTTACCAACTCATTTCCTCATCCTCACCCCAAACCTAAAATTCAACCAATGGAATCCCATTTGTTAAAAAAGATAAATATGCATAATTTCAACAATACATAAACTTCAAATGCTTCTCTTAGATCTGGTGAAGTCAAAGGTGCCGTTATCGGTATCGATTTGGGTACCACCAACTCCTGCGTAGCCGTTATGGAAGGTAAACAAGCTAAGGTTATTGAAAATGCTGAAGGTGCTCGTACCACTCCCTCTCATGTTGCCTTCACTAAGGACGGTGAACGTTTAGTTGGTATGCCAGCTAAACGTCAAGCTGTTACTAATGCTGCTAACACTTTCTATGCTACAAAACGTTTGATTGGTCGCCGTTTCGATGATCCCGAAATCAAAAAGGATATGAAGAATTTGTCTTACAAAGTTGTTAAGGCCTCAAATGGTGATGCCTGGGTTTCCTCTACCGATGGCAAAGTATACTCTCCCTCACAAATTGGTGCTTTCATTTTAATGAAAATGAAGGAAACAGCTGAAGCCTACTTGAATACCCCTGTTAAGAATGCTGTTGTTACTGTACCCGCCTACTTTAACGATTCACAACGTCAAGCCACCAAGGATGCTGGTCAAATTGCTGGTCTTAATGTTTTGCGTGTAATCAACGAGCCCACCGCTGCTGCTTTGGCTTATGGCATGGACAAAACCGACGATAAAATGTAAGTTTTCTATTAGTCAGCGATTTTGTTGTGTTTAAAAATCTCTTATCCTGTTCCTTTTTGTTATTTAGTATTGCCGTTTACGATTTGGGTGGTGGTACCTTCGATATTTCCATTTTGGAAATCCAAAAGGGCGTCTTTGAAGTCAAGTCCACCAACGGTGACACCATGTTGGGTGGTGAAGATTTTGACAACCATATTGTTAACTACTTGGTCTCTGAATTCAAAAAGTCCAGCGGCATTGACATCACCAAGGATTCAATTGCCATGCAACGTCTTAAGGAAGCTGCCGAAAAGGCCAAATGCGAATTGTCTTCCTCTCAACAAACTGACATTAATTTGCCCTACTTGACCATGGATTCTGCTGGTCCCCAACACATGAACTTGAAAATGACACGCTCTAAGTTGGAAAGCTTGGTTGGTGATCTCATCAAGCGTACCATTCAACCCTGTCAAAAGGCTTTGTCCGATGCTGAGGTTAGCAAGTCCGACATTGGAGAAGTACTCTTGGTTGGTGGTATGACTCGTATGCCCAAGGTGCAAGCCACCGTACAAGAATTGTTCGGTCGTCAACCTTCCCGCTCTGTTAATCCCGATGAAGCCGTAGCTGTAGGTGCCGCTGTACAAGGTGGTGTTTTGGCTGGTGATGTCACTGACGTTTTGCTTTTGGATGTCACTCCTTTGTCTTTGGGTATTGAAACTTTGGGTGGTGTATTCACTCGTCTCATCACTCGTAACACCACCATTCCTACCAAAAAGTCGCAAGTGTTCTCCACTGCTGCTGATGGCCAGACCCAAGTCGAAATTAAGGTTCACCAAGGCGAACGTGAAATGGCTGCTGACAACAAAATGTTGGGTTCCTTCACTTTGGTCGGTATTCCCCCAGCACCCCGTGGTGTTCCACAAATTGAAGTAGTCTTCGATATTGATGCCAACGGTATTGTCCATGTATCCGCCAAGGACAAGGGTACAGGCAAAGAACAACAAATTGTTATCCAATCCAGTGGTGGTCTTAGCAAGGATGAAATCGAAAACATGGTTAAGAAAGCTGAAGAATATGCCGCTGCCGATAAGAAGAAACGTGAACTCGTTGAATTGGTCAACCAAGGTGAATCAATTGTCCACGATACCGAAACTAAAATGGAAGAATTCAAGGCTCAATTACCTGCTGAAGAGGTAAGTTATGAACATGACCACAAAAACTAAAAGCTTATACAAATTTCTTTAATATTTTAGTGCGAGAAATTGAAGAAGGAAATTGCTGATTTGCGTACAATGTTGGCCAACAAGGACGAAGCTGATCCCGAAGAAGTCCGCAAGGCCACCAGTACTTTGCAACAATCTTCTTTGAAACTTTTCGAAATGGCCTACAAGAAGGTAAGATTAAATTAAACTTCATCCTTATAACAGCATCAATCTAAGTGTTAATCATTATTATTATTTTTTCAGATGGCTTCTGAACGCGAAGGTAGCAGCAGTTCGGAACAAAGCTCCGAAGACAAAAAGGAGAAAGAGGACAAGAACTAAATAATTTTAATCCTCCTCTTTTTAATTAATATCAATTTTATCTATATATAGTTATATAATTGTTTTTTGACTATAAGTTATTTCCTTACTACTCTAGGACAGGATATTTTCTTTTCGTGTAGTCATCCTCTGGCTGGTAGTATAAGGTTTTTATTGTTTATTATGCTACCTTAATCTGGGCTCCCAATTTTTCTGGCAGTCTGGACCTGCAGGTCATTTATTAATAAGGCGTAATACGTTTCAA